GTGCAGCTAGCCAGGCAACTACTCCAGTTTCACGCTGCACAGTTTCAACCTGTCCTGGGTGCGGTTTGGCGCCACCTGCTGGCCTCTACCTTCTCTGTATAAAACCAAGGGAGGCTTCTGGGAAGAGCCGACTTCCAAGAAAGCCACAGTTGCAGGAATCTGCAGCCTGTTTAGTTGGCCTGACTCATCCTCAGCTTCCCATTTCCCAAACTTTCCTTCCCTAACCACCCCTCCCAGCCCTGCCTGTCTGCCTGCCATATCTCCCCTGTTCACCCCAGCAGATAGGAACTTTAGCCGCCTTCTTTGGGACCAGACACGGAATGGGAGCCGACAGCTCACATTACAATCTGGATTATATATGTCCGGGGGTTCTCTGAATAGGAAGCTATTGTCTATTTGGTGTGAAGAATGCCAAAATAATCAATAAACTCTGTGCTTGCTTCAACCTATATTGACTCTGGTCCTGGAAGGACAGAAGCACCTAAACCCCTACAAAGTCACACACCCATTCTCTTCATGCTCCATGAACCAACTGAACGATCTTCAGGAAAAGCAAAGAACTGAGCTGTTTAAAGAGACTATAGAGCATTCAAACTCCACAAGGACCAGACTAGTTCATTTCCTCCCAGAACATAATTTGGCAAAATGGCATGACCGAGCAGATGCTGGCGGAGAAAAGGAAACCTTCAAACAGGTACCCTTGATTGAAACTATAAAGACAAAGACTGGGAAAGGATGCTGGGGGAAGAATGCAGAAAAAGGAAAGAGTGAAGGAAGGGAAACGGGCGCAGAACTGGTGCATTGCAGCTCTGTTTTTGTAGGGAGCTTGCAGCTCCTTTGGGGTCTGGCAATAATAGCTGGACTGAAATCGATTTATGGATGGTGCCACACCCACTGCGAGTTGCTTCTCAGGACACTTACTACTACAAAGTCTTTTTTCCTTCCAGGTAGGTGAGCCTGGTGAGGCTCACAGTGGCCACCATCAGGACACTGGTCGAAACAGTGATTCTCCGCAGGGAAGTCCCCAGGTGATTCTGGCACGGCCTTCCCAGCCCCCCCAAACAACACCTCCTTTCACCAACAACCCCTCCAAGACGCGCACACACACACACAATCACAAACCCAGAAGGTGGAGAATAAAGATTTAAAACACAGAACACATAATAAAGGACAGAAGCAGTCAGTGACCCAAGCTGTTCACGAAGCAAGTCAAGCCGTGTTGTTTTTTGTTCATTCAAGGACTATTTATTATCTACCTATAACATGTTAGGTGTTATAAAGAGGCTGTACGCATATTAGATTGGAGGTTTTCCTTTTTCCATACCATCTACCACAAAAACTTCTGCCAACACTCAACAAGTACTCTATGCCCAGTTACTTCCCTTAACTATTCTGATCTTATGCCATTATCTGGAAAACATAACAGAATATTCTCTAGAGTGAATAGAAGATAGAATTTCCCGAGTTCAGTCTATTCTCAATGCTAAAGATGCATCAGGGGCAAAACGCCATGCTTTTCAGGATTTGATTTTCCTGCTAATCTAAAAACATGCAGTATATTAATCTGAAAATTTAAGAATGCTAATAATCTATCTCATGAAAATGTTGATGGTTACTGTTTGCAAATCATTCTGCAATTATTACAGTGATGTGTAGTTTATATGATTCTTTACAGGTAAAAATAAACTGCTAATAACAAACTATTCAAAACAACGTGTCACTGAGGGCAGCATTGAACTGGGAGCCCAGATACATAAGGTTTAGTCCATTTCTTTTAAACCTTCATATAACTGAGTGGATGCCAGGCACCAAAGCTGGCATTTCTGAACATTTTTTCCTCTACTGGAATCTAACCAGATTCTTGAAGCTCTCATTTCACAGATGAAAGAAATCCCAATAACTAACTTATGAACTTTGGCAACTCGATATTTCAAATAAAAGAGAGTATTCAATTTGGGGATGGCTCAAAACAATGGAGACCAGTGCTCACTAAAGAATTCTAACACTTCAGGCAAGAACAGAATTGTATTTATATGTGTGATGGAAATCCTTTAATCCACTAAACATCAATGTTCTAGACAGTTTGCAAGTCACAGAATCGAGATTAGTCTGATAGATTCGCCACTGAGAAGAAAAGGAACGCAGATACACAGAGAGAACGTATGAAGCTGCATTTAAGGAAATACTAACCAACAAGAAAATCCTGTGGGTTTACCTCTCCACTTGTTTATACGCTGCCTCATTAGGCAAAGAATCTGAGGCGGCGATGACTGTTTTATTTATTAAATAAATACCCTTCCCAGAAGTGATTTCTGAAGTATGGAGTATCAGAGAAGCATCTCAAAAGAACTTGATTTTGAAGCTGAATTTTAAAAAAACAAAGAACAGACATATGTCAGCATTAAAATTTTAGCAGTTTTGCCCTGGCTGGGTATGGCTCAGTTGGTTGGAGCACCGTCCACTGCACCAAAAACTTGCTGGCTCGATTCCCAGTCAGGGCCCACACCTAGGTTTGGGGTTCAGTCTCCAGTGGGGGTGAGCATGCAAGGCAACTGATTAATGTTCCTCTCTTGCATTGATGTTTCTCTCTCTCATCAATAAACATATCCTTGGGTGAGAATTTAAAAATTACATCAGTTTTTATTATATATAATAAAATTATATCAACAAGAAGGCTAAAAAGTAAGACACAAGATAGAATATCTTGGTCATCACAAGCTTCCTCGATGGAGACCCAAATGCCCACACGGCCCAGACCATAAGGCCACTAAAGCTGCCGGAATGGAAAGGCTGCCCCGTAGATGCCGCTGAAAAAAACCCTGAGCAAAATTCAGAACCCAGCCATGCTGCCTCATGTCTTTTCTCATTTTTTCCACGTGAAGCTCTTTCTGCCTCGGCTCGGAAATTTCTGTTTTATCAGATGTCTTTCGCTTAGCTGCTGTTCCTTTCTTTAAACCTTCTTGGAACCCAATGCAGCCTTTATGAAAATAGAGAGATTCCATTTCATAATTTTAAGAGGAAGGAAAAGCCCAATGATGGTTCCTCCCATCTCCGGCATTCACGTTTCATTAAATCATTAGCGTTTAGGCTTCTTTGGTCCCATGGCTTTGGGGAGGGGTGAGGCAAGATGACCAACAGACTGTGCTGGTTGGTGCATTTTTGTACCTACCTGAGAAGGGTGTAATGAGAATTACACCCAGCTTAATGATTTAAAGTTTATAGAACACCCTGCACTCCTTGGAGAGGTGGCACCCCGAGTATAAGACAGGTTAACACAGCACTCCTGTGAAAACAGGACAGGTAGAACATAAAAGCTAGTAACCTAGAGAGCTGCACAGCAAAGGGAATTACCACCGACTTAATAATGTGTCCCAATCAAAGGCAGTCTAAGGAAAAATTAAAAGAAGGCAGAACATTGGATACAAATGATCAAATATAAGGATTAAAGCATGCACGTGGTTTACCAGACACAGCCAAGGTAAAGAGTTTTAAATAAACAAAAGTCAGCGAGTTACGTGAGCATAAAGCTAAGACAGTCAAGAAATATTTTTGAAAGCATCTATACTTTTATAAAAAGATACTTTTTTATAATTGTAGTAAAATACACATAACATAAAGTATACCATCTTAACCATTTTTAAGCGTGCAGTTCAGTAGTGTTAAATACATTCACACTGCTGTGCAACCAGTCTCCAGGATTCTTTTTATCTTGCAAAACTAAAACATTATACCCACTAAACAACTCCGCATGCCTGTTCCCCAGCCCCTGGCAACCACCATTCTGTTTCCTGTCTCTGAATCTGACTACACCGGGTACCTCATGTAAGCAGAATCATACAGTATTTGTCTTAAACACACACACACAATTTTAAACTACTAGCAGAGGCGGATGGAAAAATCTAAAGTACAAAGAGACAGAAAAACAGGAAGCAAAAATGAACTGGGGAGGATTTTAGATCTCAGTATCTGTATAATGACCCCCGTCATAACATTAGTTATCAGAAGTGGATATAGGTTCTCTTTTCTAAATGTCTTTTAAACAAAACAAAGGAGAAAAAAAAGAAAAGCTCGAGCTGAGGGTAGGCTGGGGAAACTCCAGATTTCAGTATCTGCAAATAACTCCACCACATTGGTTATCAGAAGGGATTCAGATCCCCTTCTTGAGATATCTTTAAAAGAAAGATGAAATCAGTATCATTTCTTAGTTTCTTAAGACAGCAGACTCAAAGGCAATCAGAAAGATCACAATCTTTGTAGCAACACACCAGTCACAGTTCACTCTGATCTGAATATAAAACAATCTGCTGAAAAAGTTTCCAGTCTTTCTTAGATATTCTCTGCTAGAATAAAGGTGTTGCTGAGATCTAATAACACATACACGGGAGACTATTATTAAGTTTTTCTTTTTAACAGTAAAAATATCTAATTATCACAAACTTCAACCTCAGAAATATGCTGACTGAAAGACAAGTATATCTAAGCGTAATGCTGATGCCGAAGCTAATTTCAACTTCAAGAGACTACAAACAGAAAGCTACAGGTTCAATGGGAAATGTCCCTTATCATAGCAAGCACTGTAATGACATTTGTTAATCTGGGGATGGGCGTGCAAGTGGGAAATCGTGAAGTAAACTTAATAGACTTACTCCTTCGGAAAAGAATTATCAGTCACCAAAACCTCTGAAAGTAAAACTATAATTCTGAATAAAACAATGTTTGTTGCTTTGCTCCACCTTGGCGTTTTGTGTGGGGTTTTTCTTGTTGTAGTAAATGCCCCGAGGCTCTGACCCAGCTTCAGAAAAAGAGCCAGTAGAGTGGGTCCAGGAAAAAGAAATGATCCAATTGCGGATTAGCAAAACTGTAACAGGGATTAAGAAGGGCCACGGAAAAGGAACACCCTAAAAGTGTGTATATAAGAGCCAAACAGGCAGCCTGCAAACACACTCTGCACTGTCACCTCCCCTGTTCGCCTGGACAAGCTAAACCTTTGCAGGAGCACCATGTCTTGCTCGTCTCGAATCTCCTCCCGGGCTGCAGGCAGCAGCTCGGTCAGGGTGTCTGCTGGTGGCAGCAGCTTCAGCAGCGGGAGCAGATGTGGTCTGGGGGGCACCGCCACCCGGGGCTTCCGAGGAGGGGCCGCCGGCTGTGGCCTGAGCGGTGGCTTTGGAGGCGGCTTTGCAGGGGGTTTTGGTAGCTGCTCAGTAGGGAGTGGTTTTGGAGGAGCTTCAGGCTCTGGAGTTGGCTTTGGAGGGGGTTCTGGGTTCGGCAGGGGTTCTGGATTCGGTGGCGGTGCCAGTGGAGGCTTCTGCGGCTATGGTGGTGGTGTGGGGGGTGGTATCGGAGACGGGGGGCTTTTCTCTGGAGGTGAAAAGCAAACCATGCAGAACCTCAATGACCGCCTGGCCAACTACCTAGACAAGGTCAGAGCCCTGGAGGAGGCCAACACTGATCTGGAGAAGAAAATCAAGGAGTGGTATGAGAAACATGGGCCCAGGTCTGGAGATGGTGGCTCTGGAAGAGATTACAGCAAATACTACCCAATAATTGAAGATCTTAAGAATCAGGTAAGACGCTATCCACTGCTAAGTTTCTACGGTCTCTTGCTTTTATTTAGAACATGTACTGTAATGAAGATTTTAAGTCAAGGCATTATTTGAAAACATATTTGTCTGTCGAATATGGAAAAATGGGACTTGGTGTATTTTAACTATGACAGTACTACATATGACACCCAACCACATTAATTTTCTGTTTACATTTCAAATTTGAATATTTATACATAAGAGTAAAATTTATACAATAACAGGCAACTAATATGTATATGTGAGTGATGGCAATGAGTCAGAACTAGCTTAATCTATTTCATGATTGATTCCGGCAGGTTGACATACTCTAGAGTCTTGCTAGATTTGAATAGTCTTTACAACCATTTTTCTTTTTAGAAAATCTGGTGCAAATATTATATAAGAATGTGGTGGAGCCTAAAGTGTTTTGCCACTTTTTAGGAAGTGAAGCTCACTTTTCACACTATTTTCTGAAAGAGCTCATAGAATAACTGACCTTCCAAAGCAGCAAAAGCATGCAGAGAGCTGTGTTCTATGCCTTTCCCAGTAACTGCGCAAACTGTTACCTTTTTGCGGAAAGATGTAGTCCAAATACACCAGGGTCATCAATGTAGGTGGCATTACTAAGCAAGTTTTCAAAGCAATTCACCTTTAAAAGCTAACTGAGGAGCATCTACCATCACAGGTGGGCATGCAGACACAAGGTAAAAAACATCCATGATTCATTCACTATTTTTGCCTTTTTTAGATCATTACTGCCACTATTGAAAATGCTGGGATCATGTTGCAGGTTGACAATGCCAGATTGGCTGCTGATGACTTCAGGCTGAAGTAAGAAAAGTGAAGACTTGAAAACAAGTGTTGTAGGAAAAGTAAAATTCAATCTGCTTAATTTATTCTAAATTTTTTGACATCTTTTAGGGGATCAAGACCTAAATTCACAAACACCCCAAACGTAAACTTGAAAAGCCATCATTTCACCAACAAGAAAAAGAGACAAATTAAGAATGAAACTTGTGTCATAAAAATTATTAGCCACCAATAGAATTAACATTAGGTTCATATTTTTCTTTACAGGGGAAAAATTCCTAAGAGAAAGCTTAGTAGCCTTTGTTTATCCAGTAGCTCAGAGGAGAAAACTCCTTGAATATATGAGGTGGGATGTGCCCTTTGAAGGGTATTCTCCTGGCTCACTGCTGCCCCTTCCAGATATGAGAACGAGCTGCACCTCCGGCAGACGGTGGAGGCCGACATCAACGGCCTTCGGAAAGTTCTGGACGAGCTGACCATGACCCGCTCCGACCTGGAGATGCAGATCGAGAGCCTCACCGAGGAGCTGGCCTACCTGAAGAAGAGCCACGAAGAGGTAGCGACACCTCCCGCGTTATTAAAAGACACCGGCCTACCTATTTTCCTCCATAGCCATTCTATAAAAATAAAATAAAATCTATCTGAATGGACCAGGACCAGGAAAAATAGTAATAATGAGGGAATTACATCTGAATTTGGTGGGATTGGGGGGGTTTTTCCTCTTCAGTGTCCTAGTTTCAATTGTACATTTTAGGAAGTTCGTAGCTTTTCTGTTTTCATCACTTTGGTCTTTTTTTTTTTTCTTTCTGCTAGGAAATGAAGGCTATGCAAGGAAGCTCCGGAGGGGAAGTGACAGTAGAAATGAATGCCGCCCCGGGAACCGACCTGACCAAGTTACTCAATGACATGAGGGCGCAGTACGAGCAGCTGGCCGAGCAGAACCGCAGGGAGGCGGAGGAGCAGTTCAACAAGCAGGTAGATGATCACCGCTGGGCAGCTAAGCCTGCGCCACTGCCACTCATCCTACCAGCCCAGGTGACTGCTTTTTATTTTTATTTAGAGCGCATCACTGCAGGCCCAGATCTCCACTGACGCTGGGGCAGCCAGTTCCGCCAAGAATGAGATAACGGAGCTGAAACGGACTCTGCAGGCCCTGGAAATTGAGCTCCAGTCCCAACTGGCCATGGTAAGTGTGAAGCGCTTTCCAAAGTCTCCAACAGGGAGCTAAGGCAGTCAGCTTTCCCCCTTTGCCAAGGTGCTCCGCCTGGCACCTAATGGAAGCAGTATTAAGGAGGGCTGCATCGTGGTCACAGAAAGCAGAAAACATTCCAAGGAAAGATAATGTACGCTATTCCCATAAAAGATTTCATTTTGAAAAGTAATGCTAACTAAACTTAAGAAAGCAACGTTATAACAGTATAGCTTGTAATTTGGTGAAGGTGTACGTCTCCCGGTAACTTATAAAATTTTATAATTTTTAAGAATTATCAATGACTTCTTTTCATCATGAATTGTTTTCTTTTGTTTATTTCTTTTTCTCTTAGAAAAGCTCCCTGGAAGGGACCCTGGCCGACACAGAGGCTAACTACATGGCCCAGCTGTCAGAAATTCAGATGCGGATCAGCAGCCTGGAGGAGCAGCTCTGCCAGATCCGGGCGGAGACCGAATGCCAGAACGCAGAGTATGAGCAACTGCTGGACATCAAAACCCGCCTGGAGATGGAGATTGAGACCTACCGCCGCCTGCTCGACGGAGAGGGAGGGTAAACCAAAGTCACGAACACGCTAAAAGGCATACGCCTTGCTGTATTTATGCCATGAACCCAAAAAGGGGCTTGGGGCTGCACTTGTATTTAGAAAGTCACAGTAACAGTCCAATCAAATGACATCTACCTTCATCACGGAGAGCCCTCTGCAGGGAGGGTTTCTCCTGCCTTCGCAAAATGCAAAGGAAAACAATTCTTTTCCTTTTCTTTTTTCTCTCCAGCGGTTCTGGTTTTGGAGGATCTGATTTTAGAAACTCCGGATCCAGAAACACAGGATCCAGGGATTCCGTATCTGGTGACTCAAGATCTGGCTCTAACCAAGGAAGAGGTAGGCATTTTTTAATGTTCATAATTGAAAAGTAGAAACATGTTTTGCTTGTCATATTAAAAGTATATACTGTTGTTTACATATCCTACCCAGAGAGAACATACTTAATGAATGCACTTGTATTTCTCCAGATCATTTCCAGACTGACATTGTGATTCTGTGATTTTTCAGATCCAACCAAGACAAGAGTGACTAAGACCATCGTAGAGGAGGTGGTGGACGGCAAGGTGGTCTCATCTCATGTCAGCAATGTTTCTGAGGTGAAAGTCAAATGAGAAACTTCCAGATCATCCAGAGAAAAACAATGTAAAGGACACAAATGAAGANTGTCTTTCAGAGAAAAACAATGTAAAGGACACAAATGAAGACATCGCATCAATCTAGCCATCCTTCTGAACAGCTCCCGGGAAAAGTTTCTGTACAGAAACCGCTAACTAACCAACCTTCCTGCAGCCTCTTCTTTTCTTGTTAGAAAGCTCTTGAAAAAGCCAAAATGACAACTTTCTTGAAAAAGTCGAAATGACAACTTTGCTCTCATTGTTTCTATGCTTCAATAAACTTAACTTTCGCATGGTAATTACATTATTGCTGGGTTGTGTGTTTTTTAAGAAATGTAATATTTTACCTAGAAATGAATCTGTAGGTTATGATCTAGCTGCTATGTTATACTACTGATATTAATTCACTATTTACCAGTACCTTCTTCATAAAACTCAAGATTACAGCCATTTCGTATGTGGGCATTTTTAACATCACATTAGACCTCAGTGATAGCTAAAATTAAACCTCAGTGTCCCTAAAACTATGGCCAATGGCTGAGCCCACAAAGAAGGATGCCATTGTTAGAATTATCAATCTATAATTAATTAATGCCTGGTTTCATAATGTCCATCACTGATAAAAAGAAATAGGAGCTAAGCCTCCAACTTCAAGCAGGCTACATTTTAGATGGACAGGAGAGCTAAACACAAAGAGGGCAGCAAACACTAAACGGTGCTCAAAGTGAAGGGCTTGATTTCACAATACTCACCAGAAGTGCCACAGGAACCAGACATGGTGTAGTTGCAGGACATGTAGGAGACTGGTCAGAATTATAGTCTTGGGAAGTAAGGTGCGATAAGTGATACGGTGCCAGATTTCTGAAAACCTTGAAAGCCCCAAAGAGAACAAATGCTGAGATACCTGTTCCTATGCCAAATCTAGCCACATCTCTAGTCAAAAATTGTCTGTTAACCAAAGGTGGTGTTTCCTTTTCTCACTCTTCATTGCTGAGGTCTTTTACCCTATGGGTGGTCAATGTGGCTGTCTTGCCTTGCTTGGGATAATGAAGCCTGTTAAAGCAGGATAGGAGGTGGTTTAAGGTCAGTCCCAGGAAAAAACAGACATAGGACATAGGCTGGGTGAGAACATCACCACTCGAGGAATTTCATAGGAGCAGATCACAAATTAGAACATCAACCCCATAAACCAATCCTCAAGAAAAGAACATGGGACTTGGCAGGAAAATTCTAATTTAAAATTACAAAAGGATAAACCTGAATATAGTTCATGTAAATTGTACCTTCAAATATAAAACCAACAACGCTGTATGGAGTATCAAATCTTAATAATCAAGACAACCTAAAAATGTAGTTTTTCATTTTCTAGGCACATGGAATAAAATATAAAAATTAACTCAGGCACAACAAGACTTCTGCTTAAATAGCTAACCACAGAATAAAATAAATAGCCAAGCATGAAACCACTACTCAAAGAAAAAGAACAATGTTAAGTTGTCTTAAATCCAACATGTTTCCCATCAAACCACTACAGTAAATTAAATCTTGCAGGTGGGCACTTGAATTATCGGAGGGAGCACGTGGTAAAGTATATGAATGTCTATCCACTGTGCTCTACACATGAAACTAATACAAAATAATGTTGAATGCAAACTCTAATCAAAAAATAAAATAATAATTAAAAAATTAAATCTTGGATGTTTCTCCAGTACCAAAAAATTAAGAAACGTGAACCAACTGATCCAGCCTGGATTAATGGCAGAAGGACAGAAATGGAAACAAGTTGAGTGCAGCCTCCAGTCTCTTGGGCCATCACAGCCACATCAGGAAGCCTCTCTCTGTGCATCGTCCCAGCTCTAGTCTTCTAGTCCTGTGCCACCTGGGACCTATGTTTCCAGCCAGTATTATCCTCATGTGGAGGCAACAATATGCAGCTATTCCAAAAACCATGTTGAGGTGGTAACCCTCATCTTTGTTTCCCTGCCTTGAGTTAAGATGCTACATTTGTACGAAATAGTTGTTTACAGTTTTAGAGAAGGCTAGAACATACTGAGATGCAATATAATGTGTTAAAAGCACTTCAGTTTTTAAAACTGAAACTGGTGAACCATTTTGGATCTTGAAATACACTTAGAGTGCTGAATAAAATGTTAAGAACAGGATGTTCACACTTTATTACCTGCCCTGACATTATTTTAAACCCACACAAGCATATGTTTTGCCTTGAAACTAAAGTTTCAAGCTCTCTGGTCAACTTTTAAATTTGAGAAATGTGTTTCTTTCTTCTAGGAGTCAGACTTCTCTATAAGGAGGAAGAGCCAGTGCCTACTTGCACGTGAATTTTTATCTGTTGATTTTGATCCACATCATAAGGTTGTACTTGTCTTTCTGACCTCAGGGGACAACCAACTGACAAGAATGGTGAGAATGGTGGAAGTGGCATCCATCTTCACAGAGATTAGAAACATGAAACAAAGTTTACAGTAGGCAGAGAAGCAGAAACAGCCAAAGGATTTGAGACTCTACAGAAAGTAGCCCAAACTTGCTTAATGACATCATGGAATTAGACATTGTTCAAAGATCTACAAGTGGAGACAAAGCAATTACTATAAATCACCCATGATGGAGCCCAAGTAATGTTTCCCAAACAATCTCCTTAAATAATAAAATGCTGCAAGTAATAAATCACTTTAAAAATTCCCAGTGGCTCAAATATGACACTTGACAACCAGGAAATATTTTTCAAGCTCTGTTAAAAAATAATTTACTCATTTGCAATATCAATGTCAGTATGAAATGATAAAGTGGAAAGAAGCAAACACTATTTTGTTACTATTTAAGTGGCATATAAAGGACAAGCCCAGAGTGTATCACAGATGGATCGTATGTAAAATATATAAACTGAGCGAGGGAGAGATGAAGTGTTTATTTTGCTGCCAGAACCGTAAGAAATATGAGAGCATATGAGAGCTCACTACGAAACTGCAATAGGGAGGGCGTCGCTTGGCTCCAGCTTGCTTCTTAAGGACACCATAGGCTTGGGTAGTGTTCAAAAGATCTAGCAAGTAGCAAAACAAATTACAAGTATGAAAGTCACACTCCCATAGCTACTTTTTAAAAGAACAAAGAAAAGATCACCCTAAAAGGTATTGTTGTAATATTGTACAATTATAGATATATAAATTACATTGACTTCTGCATAAACTTCCCAGGAAATGATTTACAACTTTAAGGAGAATTTCGTCATCTTTCTCCAGATGGATGCAGGAGCTGCCCAGAGGTGGGAGAGCTGGGAAGACCTCAATCAAGTTCAGTCTGGAAACTCTGGTTGGCTGTCAGCTGGGAAGGACAACTGATATTTGAGACAGGTACTATCTTTCAACCTACCCATCACGAGACTTGTTCTAAGTTCTGGGAACTGTTTTCAAGAAACTGCAACAGCCAAATATCATAAATTATGTTATGATACAGAGTTATAATACGGAGCATTCTAAGAAATTAAAAGAACAAGGTCATTTTTGGAAGCTAATAAATATCCATTGCAATGCTGGGGAGAGGAATTCTCTCAGTGGCTGACTCTGCTCTGTGATGGTATTTCAGAGTGGACTGCTTCAACCTCAGATCACCGCCGCCGCCGATGCATCCCATTCGGCTACGACTGAGATGAAGGAACTGGCGTGGACTTTTCAGGCCCTGGAGCTAGAACTATAGTTTTCAGGAGCCCGGGAATGTAAAAAGCTCCTCCTGGGTGAATCCACCAAGAACCAATTTGTGCACAGAGATAATTTCATGATTTCACCTCAGCAATATGTTTCCAAAATACTATATTCTCTAATGAAGTTTATTTTTAAAAGCTCTTAAGGAAAAAAAAAATCCAAGATCTTGGGCTTCTTCAATTAATAACTCAGACAGAAAAGTTTCCATTTAATGTATGAAAAATATCTGGAAGCAAAATTATTAACTGCAGATATCAGCCCCTATCTTGCAAATACTACAGCCCCCAAATTAGCTGAGATACTGCAAATGTCAACATAGTACAAAATGCTCAGCTTGGCCCATCAGATGAGGGGTGAGGTACCCTCCCACCATGAAATCTCAAAACCTTACCCCCTTTTTAAAGTGGAATAGATTATCTGTTTTACTTGAAAGAGAAGTTAGAAGAGAGAAAATGTGTCCAGCCCGCGTGGCTCAGCAATTGAGCATCAACCTATGATCCAGGAGATCTCGGTTCAAATCCCGGTCAGGGCTCGATCCCCAGCAGGGGTGTGCAGGAGGCAGACAATCAATGATGCTCTCATCACTGATGCTTCTCTCTCTCTCTCCCTTTCCCTTCTTCTCTCTGAAATCAATAAAAATATATTTTTTTTAAAAGAGAGAAAATGTCTGTACATTGCGTCTTCTTTCCTGCAGAGTGAATAGAACACTATCTGATACTAACAACAAAGAAATCCCTTCCAGAAGTGAGTCACAAAATCACACATGCCACATGCAGAAAGAAATCAAGCAAAGTCTGCCTTATAGGTACTTGACTCAACTCACAAAAACAATTATTGATTGCTTAAAATGTGCAGGTACAGTGGGTAAGGTACTATAGCTAAACTCTCAAAGGTGGACTATAGAATCATACAGCTAAAAAAGATCAGAGTTAATCCTAAAAGATTAACACTTAAGATTTCTCAAGGAGAACTGACAATGTTTCCCTAATTCTCAAATAGTGCTGACTTCAATGACCATTTCTTTCAACGTATGAGTCACTGTTTTCTGGCTACTTAGAGAAGCTTCCAAGATAATGATTTTTGAGAGTAACTGAACTTGTGGTACCTGTATGTCAACATATCACCAAATTTCATTTCTGGAGTCAGCAATGAGCGATGGACTGAGCAACTGATGAGAGGAGACATTCGAAAAGGTGGTTAAGGAGGAATTGAATATTAAAGGATTAGTATAATGAATTTTTCTGAAGGCAAAAGTGTGAAAATAACTTGTAAAAGGTGTGACAGAATGTGGAA